GCAAGCTCCGCTTCCCAGGTTCATGCCATTCTCCTGCCTCAGCCTCCCAAGTAGCTGGGACTACAGGTTATTCTTTTTGTGTAATTTGCCTTTTTGTGTTTTCTGTTTATTTTATCTTTATTTAAAGAAATAAAAAAGCGAAGAACAAAGTTTCCTCATTTACAAACTGAGCCAAGGTTATTTACAATCATGTTACCTTCTATGTTCATTTTCAAATCTTTTATTGTTGTTTTGAAAAATTAGGTAACCCAGTATGGTTTCTCAGGTCTTCATCAAGTGCCCCATCCTTTTTTAATAACTCTTTTGACTTTGCCTTTTAAAGATCAGACAAAAATTTAGGAAAAAATATTCTTTTCTTACCAAAACTCATCTTAAAAATTTCCTAGAGGGCCTCTAGAAAATCCCAGATTTGTTTTCATCTTATACAAAGAAATGCTGGGAATAATTAGATTTGTTTGAAGTTTCATGAGAGGAGCTGCCATATCTGAGAAGAGATACTCAGTCTGTCCTAGGTTAGATTCTTATAGGTAAACTGTTATTAATATAAATATTTCAGAAATTGTTTGCTTTACAGGAAGTTCCTGGTAATTTGACAATGCCCTTGCTGTTTTACCCTCAGAGGAAACACTGATCAAAAACTTCTACGCTGGCATGGTGGTTCACGCCTATAATCCCAGCACTTTGGGAGGCCGAGGCAAGAGGATTGCTTGAGCCCAGGAATTCAAGGCTGCAGTGAACTATGATGGCACTACTGCACTGTCCCCTGGGTGACAGAGTGAGACTCTGTCTCAAAAAACAAAATAAAACAAAAACCTCAAAACAAAAAAAACCCTACTGTGAAATACTTACATATGTACCTCAAAAGAGAATGTTACTTATCTTCCATTCTGATATTATTGGTTATAGAAGTAAATTAAGCACAGCTCTCAAGTATTTGCCAACCACAGAGAATTTCTGTTTTACTCTGATCCTTGCCTGAAGGCTCTGCTACAAGCTATAGTCAATAGTTTATGCCCGAAACAGAGACAGATTCAGAACATTAGGGAAAAGGAGTGTAATAGGCACTTTAACATTGATATTGAGATATCAAACAATAACCTCTTGAGTACAGGCTTTTGAGGTGATACAGCTTAGGTAACTTTTATATAGTACTGAAGCAGATGGCTTCAGGAAAGCAGACTGCTAACTCAACATTTAGCAGAACAAGAATGATGTAGGACTAAGTGAAATATTAAAAGAAAATTTTTCTGTGTGTTTGTTTGGAATATTGTTGATTAGTTTTTTTGTTTGTTTGTTTGTTTGGTTTGGTTTTTTGAGACAGAGTCTTCCTCTGTCACCCATGCTGGAGTGCAGTGATGCGATCTTGGCTCACTGCAACCTCCACCTCCCAGGTTCAAGCAGCTCTTGTGCCTCAGCCTCCCACGAAGCTGGGATTACAGGTTTGTGTTACTATGCCCAGCTAAGTTTTGTATTTTCAGTAGAGGTGGGTTTTGCCATGTTGGCCAGGCTGGTCTTGAACTCCTGGCCTCAAGCAATCTGCCCACCTTGGGCTCCCAAAGTGCTGGGATTACAGGCATGAGCCAATGTGCCCAGCCAATTACTTTTAACTATTCTAAGGCTGCCTGGCTCTAGACTTACAAAACAAATCAAGGAGCCTACATGGTTAATTAACTTTTAGTGCTAAATAATTGGGCAAACCTCGTGAAACCGGCCTTTTTTGTGATCAGTTATTATCTCTGTGATTACTTTGATCATAGGCGGTGGTGGAGACACTACTAGCAAAAATTAAGAGACTCAGAAATGAACAAAAAAGGTCACTGGTGTCCAGTTTAGTGCATCCTTCTGGGTTATTGCCACCTTTCATTATCTTTGAGTTATTTAATAATTCTGTAAGTCAAGGAAAACTTATAGTAATGCATATGATTCTTTAGTTTTCATGGCAAAGGCAGATACTGTTTAACTATTGAACAAACTTTCAGTGTTTTGTAAAAATGAAACTCTTTGAAAAGGGTATGTAGGGCACGGTGAGGTAAAGGAGGGGAGAGATATTTAGGGAAGTAACTGCAGAAGAATCATTTTTCCTTGGTTGGGAAGAAGGTACTGGTCTATGAATCCAACAAGCAGCAGGGTCCCCTCCTCACTGTTTAGCAGGCAGTATGTTGGGGAAGTGGTCAGACTTTAGAAGGGATGGCTGTGAAATACACCCAAGGAGGCTAGCTGCCCTGAGGTTTCCAGCCTCTACTTGACCTTAGTGCTCCTAGCATGGCCCAAAGGAGCAAAGACTTGAGACCTAATGGTACTACAAGAATACTCTAGATGTATTCAGTGCAGACCAGTGATCAGGTGTGTCTCCCTGATGCTTTGGTGCTGCTTAAGTACCTTCAGGTTCCTTGGCATAATTCTTGGAGATAGTAAGCTCCAGTTGTGGCTTAATAAAATTTCCCACCAGTCCTGTAACATAGGCACTTAGAGTACAATTTAAATGGAATTAAATACTTTTCTTGCATACCTAAGGTTCAGCACTTAATATTCATGCCTGCTACATAATGCTTCTGAAGTTTTCCTTGATTTCCCTGTCTTTTTAGTAACTGGTTTTCAGGCTTAGCTCTTGGGCTGAAGCAGATGTTCTATTTTTTATTATTTTCTTTCTGCTATGGAGGTACCCTAAATTCTTTTTGGAATTACAACTTGTTGGCTGGCAGGAATTTGCTGCATTTATGTTTTATCTCTTTCTTCCTGGTTCCTCTATCATCTCATTCCCACTCAAGGAGGTAGGAAGGGACAATTAGCAGCTCCTAAGGAATACTGTGGGATGCCCAGTTCCTAAAATTTCTTTCCTAGTAAATTAAAGGTTTAGTATAAGTATCTTATTACACAGAGAGTAAAATAAATAAAACCAATGTGCTTAACTATATTGGCTTTGTTTACTGGTGAGCAAATCCCTGGCATAACTGACATCTTTGTTAGCACTAATAGAGAAGGTTAGGTTGAGAAGTGTTCTGTCCTTACCACAACTGAGCCACAGTTGCCAAGCCTATATATGCTATAAGCTTGTTACCTCTCCAGAAGTACTAGAAAAGATAAACGTTAGTTCTGCCAAATAGGTATTACCCACAATTAGGTTAATCAGAAACTAAGAGAAATTATACAAGACACAAGCCCTGGAAATAACAAATTTAACATTTAAATAGACCTGACTTCATGGTTTGCTCTTGTAATATTGAAAGTACCACAGGCAGTTTGACGGAAATGAAAACAGACACGTTGAAAATTATTTCTTTCAGCTGTGCTACAGTACCGATCTCAGCCCCTAGCCTTTGTGATCTCAGGAGAGTTCTGCGGCAATTTGCTCTACCTGGAGCTAAAGACTCTGGGAGACTTTGAGGGAACACTAATCCAGCAATTTGTCTGCTATAAGAACACCTACCCACACTTCAACACTTTCACTCCTGGATGTAATGTGAGATTTTTTTCTTCCAAGCTTTTTAGCATCTGTAGTGCTATTCTGAAAGGCTCTAACACTAAAGTTTGTGAATGGAAGGCAGGTATTCTTCTGTTCAGGTTGCTAAGTTCTAACATTTGTTCTCTGAGCCAACAGAGTTCACTGTCCAAAGAGTCGGTTTATAAATTTAGGCAGTTTTATAGCTACAAGAGGACAGAGATCAAGAACAATCATATATATAAGATCTAGTTTAAAATAAATCAAACTCTTAGAAAATATGAATTTTAGTAAAAATTGCTATGACGGTATTTTTGTAATTTTTCAGTTCAGTCATTAATGTGAGAGAAAACATGGAAAAGGATTATCAAACTCTTAGAAAATATGAATTTTAGTAAAAATTGCTATGATGGTATTTTTGTAATTTTTCAGTTCAGTCATTAATGTGAGAGAAAACATGGAAAAGGATTATCAGCTGGCAAAACATTTTATGCTGAAATATCTTTGAGCCAAAAATTAAGGTTGGTTATTTCATAAAGAATATTTTACTTTTATAACATTATTCAGTGGACCCAATAGTCATCGTAAGCTAACACATTTCATTAAGAAATGTAAACTTAGTGTTACTGAAATATTCAAATTGTAGTCTTTACAGGAACAAGTATATACCATCTACAAATAAACAGTGCTATAAAATAATGTGTGTGTGTGTGTATATATATATGTGTGTGTATATATATATCATTTTATTTATTATTATTTTTTAAGACAGGGTCTTGCTGTGTTGCCCAGGCTGGAGTGCAGTGGTGTGATTTCGGCTCACTGCAGCCTTGACCACCCAGGCTCAAGCGATCCTCCCACTTCAGCACCCAAGTAGCTGGAACTGCAGGCGCATGCCACCATGCCCAGCTAATTTTTGTATTTTTTTTGTAGAGGTGGGGTTTCACCATGTTGCCCAGGTGGTCCTGAACTCCTGGGCTCAAGCAACCTACCCACCTCAGCCTCCCAAAGTATTGGAATTATAGGCTTGAGCCAATGTGCCTTGCCATATTTTCACTATTATTATTATTATTATTATTATTATTATTTTGTAAAGAGGAGCCAAAGGAATGCCTAATCCTCCCTTTCTTCCTTGTGGGGAAGGGGAGCTAAGCATTCTTGGTAGATTTGGAACATATGGTGGGTGAATTGGTTGGCTCCTGGGGAGTCATGTTTAAATTTGAGTAGAAGGAAGGATCTTAGAGCTTTACCCTGGTGGTAAATATGTATAAAGGATGTCCTAATGTAGTACGATAGAGTGAGAAACAGGTCAGAAGTTTCCAGGCGAATAGCAAAAACCATTCTGCAAGTTGTGGGATTCTCCAGGTTGCTTCTGAGGGTAAGCTCCCTAACCTGCCAACGTTGTATCCCTTTTAGAGAGACCAGTAATTTCTGAAGCCCCATGGATTTTCAGCTTTTTGGGAGCCTGGTTATGAATATCAGATGCCTACCAGACCACAGTTAGTCACCATATGCAAGAACATTACAGCAGATACATTTTTACAGGCCCTATCTTTCATACCTTTTCCCCCATGGATACACCCCCTGATGTGATGATGACATCAGCACGACTGATACCCTCATTCAAGGCATTGAGTAAGTCATCTGGGCTGGAAAAAAATAAAGACAAAGAAATTAACACACAAGGAAAAGATTTTAGATATAGTGCCAACTTAAAACTATACCGCCTTATTCACTAATAGGGATTAACATGAGTACAGCACTATATTCTGTATGAAGTGGGAACCAAACGGGTCTCTGCCTAACAGGAGCATTAAGTCTTATTATGGAGAAAGGACCTTGTACATGCTGAAGTAGTGGCTACTGGTGATTTCACGGGGCTTTTTGTTCTGACAAGCCACTATAATGAAAGGAGACAATGAGATGCTGGAGGATGTCTAACTATCCTGGTTTGCCTAGGAATATTCCTGTTTTAGTACTAAAGTCAGATGTCCTAGGAATCCAAAGCAAGCCAGGACAATTGGTTACCCGAGGTGTTGGAAAGATCCCATAGGACTCTTTAGAGGGAATGTCTTAAGTGAGGCCCTGAGAAATGAGTTGGACTCTGAGAGGTGGAAAGGAAAAGAATGGGAAAGAGCTTCATAAGCAAGAGGATCTGTACTAGCAAAGGCTTGGAATAATGGTTAAGCCTGTGCTGTTTCTAGGTCACTGTGGAAAATAGCCTGCTTAGAGTGAAGGACTTGAGTGGGAATGACTGGGATACGTAGGATGGGACATAACTTTGAAGAACCCTCAAGCTGATGAATTTGGAGTTTATCTAATAGGAAATGGAGGAGGGAGGATCCCTAGAAATAGGAAAAGCCAGTAGGTATTCATAACGTTGGGAATAGAAAAGGTAGGGGAAAAAGGACAAGGAAAGCAGAGATGGGATGAACTACTTATATGGGGTATGAATACAGGATGAATATTAGGAATGGAAGCGAGGCAGGTTCCTGACTGTCACTTGAAAAGGCAAGTACAACAGGCTCTTTGATGGTGCAGGTCGAAGGTCTGGGAAGAAGAGATGAAAACAGGGGTCTTATCTTTGGATGTCACAACAGTTGAAAAGTCCTAACCGGAGACTGATCAAGTGAGAATAAACAAAATGCCAAGAATCAAGACTTATGGAGGGACAGGATAATTGGGAGTAATTGAAAGGGATTGTTTAGTTACCACTTTAAATCCATACGAATCTACAGGGCAATGTGACCTGTGATTGGCATTTCCCTTCAATTGATGCAGTACAGAAAAGATACTTTTTGAGGAGTATATATCTAGCCATATCCTTGTTTTCTGAAAAATTCTTACCTATTTATACCGCCCGACTCTTCCTTTCCCTTTCTTCCCAATGGACATCTAATGAGAACAACTGAAAAGGGAGTGACTCTGGCTTCTGATTTTCTGCTTCCTGCCTTTCGTCCCCCTCCTTGAGGCCCAGCTGTATTCTTGCTCTTGGGTTCTATGAGATAACCTTGTATCCTTACATAAATATCTCCTTTGCTTGAGCTGGCTTCAGCAGGTTTTTGTTAACTTGAAACCAAATTATCTCTCAACGAGACAGCATATGTTCTCACAAATATCTCATGATAGTGAAGTTTATTCATGCCCCCTTACCTTAATTTGATGAGAGAGGAAGAAGGAAAGTTAGTGACTAAGATAGCATGATTTGTAACTAGGATATAATTTCTATTTTTATTCAGGTGTAACAGAGGTAGGGAGAACTTGAGACCTACCAGAGACATAACCTTCACAGACTCTATAAGAGATAAGCTAGTCAGGAGGTGGCATAGCACAGAGATTAAGAATGTGAACTCTGGAGTCAGACTGCCCGAGTGGAAATCCTAGCACCACTACTTGCTAGATGTTTAACCATGCACAAGTTGCTTAACTTCTCTTTGCCTTAGTTTTTCATCTGTAAAGTAACCATAATAGGGTTGTTATGAGGATTAAAAGATATCCTATTAAAACATATAAAACACTTGGAATAGTACCTGGAACAAACTAGGTTTCCAAGGAAGTCATTTGTCATTCTACTGCTGCTATGCTAACAAGTTAATCACACAAACATACCTAACAAACTAGCAAAGTTCAACTACATCATGCTTGGGATTTTTATTCTGGAAAATACTCATGAGTAACACACAAGAAAATCATAGACTGGGACTTAAATACATTTACAGAGCTAAATATGAAAGGTCCAAATGGCAAGGTAGGCCTGGTTCCAACCTGAATAGCTTCCTTTACTATGAGGTTCTCTTACAGGGTCTGGGTAAAATTCTCCTTGTGGTCTGTCCACAAGCTCTGGCTCTGGGAAGCAAGCTCCCAAGGAGAAGGGCCAAAAGTAAAAGTTTGAAAAATGGCTCATATAAGGTTCAGCCTACCAATATAGAGAACTTTTAAGTCATCAGTCAGTCATTGCATATACAGCCAAAAAAGTGCCCAGGTACTAACTGAAGGTAGAATCTATGTGTAAAACATGACAGACTTAAAAAAAAAATCCCCGACATAAATTTCAAACTTAAACCAGTTGGGCAAACATCTCAGAATTATTTTGAATAATGTGTGTACTTAAAGTATTCTTGACCTATGTATTTTGAACAGATTTCTCATCAATCCTTTTCATTTTGATTTAGGAAAAAAGACAGCAAATTATTCTGTTGTATTGAAATACTATACAATATGCATGTGATGGGTTCCTGATGCCCAGAGTTCTGGGCTCCTTGCCTTGCTGGATCATATTATCATTATGCTAAGCCAATGGTTTCTCATTTACTATGGAATAAATGGAAAAAACATCCCAAACACAGCATCACATGGAATGTGGTTCAAAATACTGACTGGGTAATGAATACTATCAACAAATACAATTTTATGTTAGTAGAAAAAGATATTAGCTAATTTTACAAAACTTGTAATACATAACTTACAACATGTTGATTCTATAGAATTATTGTAAAGCTACTGTAAACAAAGCAGCAGTGAGATGCACACCATCATGGTATTTATCTTTATAGCAGGATAAAGGTTCTGGGACAGCCTAGCTCATTACTACAAATAAGCACTTTTCAATGCTTTTTCGTACCTTTTTTTTTTTTTTTTTGAGATGGAGTCTTGCTCTTGTCGCCCAGACTGGAGTACAATGGCATGATCTCGGCTCACTGCAACCTCCGCCTCCCGGGTTCAAGCGATTCTCCTGCCTTAGCCTCCCAAGGAGCTGGGAATACAGGTGCCTGCCACTATGCCCGGCTAATTTTTGTATTTTTAGTAGAGACAGGGTTTCACCATATTGGCCAGGCTGGTCTTGAACTCCTGACCTCAGGTGATCAGCTTGCCTTGGCCTCCCAAAGTGCTGGGATTACAGGTGTGAGCCACCGTGCCAGCCTTACTCATTATTTTCGTATTATCTGGGAAACATGTTTTTTTCCTATTTTGTAAAACATGAAATTTTCTAATTTTCAGAAATCAACTAAAAGGGATTTTGTTCCAAATCCTAACTGAAATTTATCATGTTTCAAAGAATATGCTCAATGATACTTTGTACTCTGTGGGTAGTACATTCATAAAATCATTGAATCTCAAAGTTGTAAATGTCATCTTGTCCATTATCACTGCTGGGCCAGTTATTTGGGTCCTGCCATACTCTATCCCCCTCTGTCACTCTCTCTTACTCTCCTTTCTGTTGTACGCTTCTGGTGTCTGGAGATTTGGTCAGACACCCTGCCTTACTAGAGAGACAGGTACCAATGTATGACAATAGCCAGGGGATCTATAACTTCATTTATGTGGCATGCTATAATCTCTCAACAAATCTGTATGCTAGACTGAATAGGTATTACTATGCTCATTTTAAGAAAAGGCAAGTGATATTCAGAGAGGCAAAGTGTAGATAGAGCGGTAAGTGGCAGAGCCAGGACTACAAACTCTGGCTTCTTATTAAATGCTTGTTCTACTCCCTGCCCAATCAGAATAATTGTGTAGTTTTTTAAAGGCATGTAATATACCATAAAAGGAAGAGTCTAATGAGAATGGACTCTTGTCCAAAAGCATCAGAAAGAGAGGATGCTAGTCAAGTGCAGTGGCACACCTGTAGTCTCAGCTACCTGGGAGGCTGAGGTGAGAGGACTGCTTGAGCCCTGTAGTTCAAGACTGCAGTGAGCTATTATCATGTCTGTGAATAGCCACTGCATTCTAGCCTGGGTGATGTAGTAAGACCTAGTCTCTCTCTCTCTCTCTCTCTCTTTTTTTTTTTTTTTTTGAGATGGAGGAGTCTTGCTTTGTTGACCAGGCTGGAGGGGAGTGGCGCAATCTCAGCTCACTGCAACCTCTGCCTCCTGGGTTCAAGCAATTCTCCTGTCTCAGCCTCTCAAGCAGCTGGGATTACAGATGCCTGCCACCATGCCTGACTAATGTTTTGTAGTTTTAGTAGAGATGGGTTTCACCATGCTCGCCAGGCTAGTCTTGAACTCCTGACCTCAAGTGATCTGCCCACCTTGGCCTCCCAAAGTGCTGGGATTACAGGCGTGAGCCACCATGCCCGGCCCTATACCTAGTCTCCTAAAAAAAAAAAAAAAAAGCACAGGATGCCATGGCATGAGGTATGGATTTGTCTGGAGTAAACCAGCAGAAAACTGCATGTGTGAACATTTTACTATCGCTCTGTGGAATGAAATGAACATGATTCAGAATACCATGTTCAGATGAAAACTATGGTTATTTTGGTTAACCATAGCTTAAGGGCCTATTCGCATCATAAAATTGCTTTCTTTTTTGTGATTCATGCTATATTTTAAATTATAAAACATTTCCAACGTAACAGTATAACCAATACCCATGTATCCATCGCTCAGATTTGACAAATGCTAATATTTTCCAATATTTACTTCATATTCCTTCCCCCAGACTCTATTTTTAACAAATAAAAACTGAGTTTGCTTTCTAAAACTCAAAGATTACTCTGAAGAGTGATAAGAGGAAATAGGTAACAAGGGTTATAATCATGAATAATATAATAGAGAGAAAACAGTTCATGATTTTCTCAGTTTTCTTACATAAAGCAAGCAGGGTGTATTAATTTTCTCAAGGATAGGAGGCTAAAACTACAAAACATTAT